TGATTAGAGAAAATTGCCTTTCTGGAGGAGGCTGCAGGCCCTGGGCTTGCGTAGTTCTGTCCGGTTATTGGAATAAACCCAGGCAGGATCCATCCCGATGTTCCTGGATTTATTTATAGCTCAGCCCTGGCAGAAACGGGGCTGGTGCCCTGTGGGCTCYGTCCTCTGGAGAGCACGGGGAGCACTGAGAGGAGCTTGTGCAATTAGCACGACCTCGTTTCCGAGGAGCATTTTGCGGAATTTAATCAATCAGTCTGGGGCAGCCCCGAATGGATCCGTGATCCATYTGGTTCCCCCCAGAGCTCGATGCCCTGGGCAAGTGCTGAGACCATCGATAAATCCCCAGAAATATTTTAAAATCGATTTTCATCCATAACCAAAATCAGGTCCTTAATTCCAGTCCAAATTCCTCCACGGATTCCCAACCAGGAGGAAGATTTGCAAACCCCACTAAACGATTGGGGTAAAAACGGCACAAAAACCCACTGGAGATGGGAAAATCCTGCCCTGCGTTTCCAAATGGAGCCAAAAAAATTCCAAATGAGAGGTTTTCCCTTTCCATCCCTTGCTGGTTCGGTCTGTGGAAGGGATTTAGGAGCTCCACAGGCAAGCACAGGGCCTGGGGAAGTCTCACCCCTCAGAAAGGGGATCCGAATCCCTGGAATGAGCAGTGCACCTGGAAGCTGCTGAGTCAGCTGGTTTTGAGGCTTCCCCAGCGGAGGGGAGGCACAAATCCATTTCTCAGCAAAATGAAGGCAGAGAGGAGCTGAATAAATAAACTCAGCTTGGRTTTGGAGGCGGCTGACGGCTCCGTGTGCTCGGCTGGCCCCTGGGAGAGGCTCTGGAAGGCGCTGGATGTTCCAGACATGCCCTGCTGGGATGGAATCCTCCATTTCCTGCATCCCAGTTTATCCCAGTTTCATTCCCAGCCATCACTGTGTTTAAATTCAGCCCCACTCATCTCATTCACCATTTCTTTAAACAGCAAAAAAGGGYGAAAATCCATTTCCGCAGAGATGGAAAAGAGGATGGCAACTCCACCTGGGAGCTTGAGCCACCCAACCTTTTCCTGGGCAGCAATTCCAGTGCAGGACATTCCCAGGGATGGAGGCTGAAAGATTTGAGGGTGCCCAGTGTCCGTGGGTTTGTACTGGTGTCACTGGTGCCAGAGAGGACAGGAAGCTGCAGGAATCGCTCAGGGATGGAGGAACACGGGATTTTCTGGTGGTCCCTGCCCAAGTGAGTGGCTTTTGGTGACACCATGGCTCCAGTATCCCATGGCTTTTTCCCCTCCTGCATTTCCAGGCTCAGCAGGAGCGTTCCAGCGCTCCCAAGGGTGCTCTGAGGGGTGCAGGAGCTGCTCCCCGCCCCATCCCGTGTCCCAGTGGCGTGGGACCGAGGTCGGTACCTGCGTCACAGCCCTCCCGTGGGGTCACCCCATTGTTGTCACCAGGTCCCATCCCTCTGTGTTTCAGGCCCTGTTCTTTTTCCCTGTGATAAGAAATGCTAATGAGGGGGTGAAATCGGATATTCCCCGTCGCCTTCTGGTCCTAATGGAATTCTGGTGGTGGTTAATTTGCTGGTTTTAATGGGCYCATTGTTCTGCCGGGCTGCGGGAGCCACGTGAGGGTGCTTGGCCCTGCTCGGATGGGAGGTGGCGCCTGGGGACAGATGAACCTTGGGGCTCAATAATTACAGAGCCATTTGGAGACAAGCCCCAAATCCATAATTGATGGGCCCTTCATTCATCCCGCTCCCGCCGCTSCCGGAGCCGTTCTCACCTCCCCGCGCACAGAGGGATGGACAAACCTGGATAAATTCGGCAAATTATCGAGGATTTCCTTGGCCTGGGGACTGCTGACACCGCTCAGGGAGGTGGGTTGGGTGTGGAGGGATGCTCAGCTGGGGATCCCGGGGATGGGACCAGGATTTGGGCTCCTGGTGGGGCTGTGATGATGGGGAGCTGGGTAGCCTGATACTGGGATGAGGATTTTGGTCCTGCTGGGGCTGTGGTGATGGGGAGCTGGGTATCCCGGGGGTGGGATGAGGATTTTGGTCCTGCTGGGGCTGTGATGATGAAGAGCTGGGTATCCTGATCCTGGGATAAGGATTTTGGTTCTGGTGGGACCATGGTGATGGATGGTTTTGGCTTTTGGGACCATGGTGATGGATGAAGCTTGGAAACCATTCCCCCACCCTGGCTGGACCCACATCCTGGGAAATGTCGCCGCTGTGCTTTGTCTCTGGGTGCCAAAGGGGTCTGGGGGAGCAGRGAGGGATTCCCCAACCCTGGCATTGCCAGCCGGGGGGATTTTTCCCAAACTGCAGCTGCCAGGGGCTGGATCCCTCCCCCGGGATGCGAGCAGAGGGATGGGGCACAGCGGGTCACATCCGAGCGAGGGCTGGCGGATAAATCCCTCCRTTCCCTGCTGCCCCAGCAGTTTCCCGAGCAGCCGCCGCCGCAGCAGCCGCGGGGAGGCCGGGCTGAGGACGCTGCATTGCGCTGGCCGGGACCTGTCCCCGTTTGCTTCATTAGTTTGGATGACAAAGTGTGTCACCGCTGTCCCCCGGCCACGCCGCAGGCTGGGCTGGCACCGGCGCCGCTCCCGAGTGCGGCCCCGGAAAATGCGGGCAGCGGCGGGGGGGAGGGATGGAACCCCTGGGGACACGGTGACAAGTGATGGTGGTGGCAGTGGGGACCCGGGGTGGCTGGTCCCTCACCCCAGCTCTGCTGGATCCATCCTGGGAGCGCTGCTGAGATGCAGGGAATGGTGTTCTGGGATGCTTTCCGCATCTGTCAGATCCCCATTTCCACCCCCGTGTCGATACTGGGAGCGCTGGTGTCCATACTGGGAGCACTGGTGCCGGCTCCCTTTGCCGCCCCCGGCAGCCGGGAGCAGAGCCCATTATCTCCTCGAGACAATTAGCAGAAGCATTAATGGAATATATGCAAATGCGCAGTAATTGACCTGTGACTCCGCAGTTCATGATGGAGAAGGATGAGCTCCAGATGGCTTAATGAGAGTAATTTAAGCCCCTTCTTTATATGCTGTGCTGGAGCCTGGCAGGACCGACCCGGGGATGGCGGGGGGTGGTGGCACTGGGGACACCGGGGAGCAGGGACAGCAGGGACAGTCCTGGGGCTGCTCCGTTTGCTCCCAAACCACCCTGGGAAGGTGGATTTGTTCTGGCATAAAGGGAAGCCATAAAATGCTGAGCAGGAGCTCGGGTTGGGGCTGCTGTCCCCCCCGTGTCCCCTCCTCCCGGGCCGTGCCGCGGTGCCACCTGCACCCTGCCACATCCCGCACGTGGAACAACCCAAATGTCGAGCAGTCTCCTTGCTCGGCTGCTACTCCGAGCTTACTCAGCCTTTACTCCGGCTGTGTTGGCTCCAAGCAGGGCTGGGGAAGGGTCATTTTGTGTTGTGCCCCTCTGCTGCTCTGCCCCAACCTGTCCAGCCCTGAGCTCCGTGAAATTCCTGCGGCGGAGCCGGAGGTATCTGAATAACCACTCTGGGAAACCAAATTAAAATATTGATGCATAATTCATGCCATATGTTCCACCAATATTTTTTATTTAATCAACTGAAGACAGATGGCAGGAACATAGAGGCCATTAAACTAATGGCACTTTGTCTTTCCATTTATTTCCGTCTCCTTTCCTAAAATAAGACGAGGCCGTGACAGGCAGCACACCCCGGGCACGAGACCATTCCCGGCACACCGGGGGCATTTCCCACGTGGAGTTTTCTCGGGAAAACTGGAGCAAATCTTCCATAGCCAGGGAGGTTTGGAGGAGGGAAATCCCATGAGGGAACTCCAGCCTGTGGTTGTCAGCAGTTTCCACTGTCCTTTTTTCTGTCCTTCCCATTCCGAGGGCCATCAGGGACGGTCATGGTGTTCCTGGGACAGCAGGAACAGGTGGCAGGATGGGAATGGGGATGTTCCTGGCTGGAGGATAGAGGAGGTCATGGTGAAATCCTTCCTGGAGATATGAGGGATTGGGTTAGGGTTAGATTTAGGGCTGGGGCTAGGATTATGATTAGGATTAGACAGGGATGCCATGCTCCCATGGAATGTCCCAGCCCTGTGGGATGCTGGAATATCCACCATCAGCTTCGTCCCACCCCGCTGCCCCTCCAGGGATTTCACTTGTGATCTGCTGGCACAGAGATGTTTGGATCTAGGGGTGAAATGTGTTTTTGCAGTGGGTGTGTGCACAGCTCGCCCTCCCTGGGGTGAAATTGGGCKAAACAGGAAATTTTCCCCATCCCARAGCCATCCTGGAGCCCCTCCCCTGCACGTCCCAGAGATGTGCAGGCTCTGGGATTTGGGCTCACCCCACCAGCATCGCTCCCACTGCATCCATTACCCACTCGGGAGAGGTGGAATCGCCCCTTTCCAGGTCTGGCAGGCGATGGAGACTCCGTCTGTCCTTCCTCACCCCGCGGAGGGACAGGGCCACCATCCTCCGTGTCCGGGACACTTTGCCGAGTGTGCCTCTCTCTTTGACTTGCAGGTGCAGATTTCTTGCCCTGGGAGTGAGCTGAATGGGGTTCCCTTAGACAAAGGGTCCCAGGCAGCATTCCAGGCTCCGGGCGCGTCCAGGGACCTTCCATTCTTTGTCTGAAAGGGCAGCGGTGCCGTTCCCATTCGAGCGATGCCTGACGGAGCCGGTGCCGCCGGGAGCGAGGAGCTGCTGCGGCAGCTGATCGGCTTTCAAATCACCTTCAAACCTCGATTTCCTTAACATGATCCCTCCATCAGCGCAGTCCCCGGGGCACGGCCGGGGGGCTTTGCCGGGAAGAGAATAAACCGGGGCGGGAGGTGACAGCCAGCGCTGGGAACCCCCCGGCCACCACTGCGGGGACTCAAAATCCACCTCCCTCTGCGCTCCAGGACTTTTTTAGGGTCTGACCACAGCTTTGCACGAACTCGCCCCGCAGCCCTCACCCCATCTGCTCGCCGGGATTCGCCTCCAATCCAGGCGGGATTAAGCCCCGGCTCGGAGCATCCCTGGAGCCGCAGAGCAGCTTCCCCGCGGCGCCGGCTGCCGGGGAAGGGATGAAGACGCTATGGCCAAGCTTTTGCTAAAACTCCAGCGGTATTTTCGGCGCAAACCCGTGCGTTTCTTCACTCTGCTGGCCCTCTACCTGGCGGCCGGCAGTTTGGTTTTCCTGCATTCCGGTTTTTCCGGGGAGCCCACGGTGCCGGGGAGCCCTCGCAGCCCCGCGGCCGCCGAGGGGCCGGGGCTGCCCTACCTGGGGGTGATGCAGCTCAGCCGCGGCTTCAAGGCTGCGGCGACAATGCCGGCGGGGGCCCGGCGCCACGGCCCCTGGTTCAAAAGCACCTCCAAGGAGCCGTCGGAGCGGGGAAAATCCCGGGATAACGGCGGCCCCCGGAGCCGGGCGATCAGGGGCAGGAGCGGCCGCGAGAAGGAGGAGGACAGAGGTGAGAGCTGGGGACACGCGCGGGGGGGTTTCCCTGCTTTTTGTCCCTCCCAGGTTGGTCTCTGAGCTGTTTTTGAGTTGTGCATCCCCGCCGGGAGCAGCTTCCCGGGCAAACACCCCCAGGAAAAGTGCATTTMTCTATTTATTTATTAATTTWWAAACCCACGAGCACGTGCTGCWGRAGYGCCGAGGTTTTCTTCCCACATCCCAGGGGAATGCTCTGGGGAGCAGCACCTCGCTCTGGAGACCATCAGGCAGGATATTTTCAGAAGTTCCCTCTTCCCTCCTTCCTCTCCTCGCTCCCCAAATGCCAATAATCCACTTTGATTTTTCCATCTTCACTCTTTCCCCTGGTCCATAACCGAGCTCTGAGTCCCCCCTCGCTGTGACAGGAGATTTTGGGGGTGGCAGCTGAGGGAATGCTGTGCCCCATCTTCCTCCCACCCTTCAGCGCTGCCAGGGGCCAAACTCTGTTTCCATTCTGTTGGCCTGAACGAACACAAAATCCAGGTTTTTGTAGCTGCAGTGTGGCTGCAGGGGTTGGCTGTGATTCCCATGGAAGTGCAGGCAGGTCTGGGATGTGGCCTCTGGAGCCGGGAGATCCCTGCCTGGCTGTGGTGTGTGCGGTGCTGTCAAGTGGCTCCGTTATTAATGATCAAGGGTAAGCGAATGGAGTCGTTCCCATCGATTTTTAAAATGCCATCTATTTATCCTGGAGGCAGCCGGAGCGGCTCGTTCCGTGGGATTTGGGTGGCTGGGCTGGGGATGGGGCAGGAGATGTGGATGGAGAGAAGCAGCTTGGRAGCCAAAGTAAAAAATATTTTGTGGGTATACGGGAAAAACATGGGATTTTCTGCTAAAATTCTTCAGCAGGGGGTTCCCCCATTGTGACTCCGCTCTGAGTGGCCTCTGGGGTGTTTTGGTGGCCACATCACTCCGTTAATGCAAATGCACTTTAGTGCAGCCTCAGCAGATGGTCCCTGAGCCCAGGCTGTCTGTCCCCATAAAGACCCCAAGCAGTGCCCKTGTCCCCTGCCATATGTCCCGTGTGCTCCAAGATTAACCTCATCCACGAGGATGCTGGGCTCGGGATTTCTGGGCTTTAGCTGCTCCCAGGTGGTCTGGGAATATCATTTTCCCCTTGGAGCATCTTGGCAGCTCCTGAGAGTGATGGTGCAGAGGAATTCTGCGGTTTGAGAAGCCCCACGTGCTCCCGGTGTGGCTGGCGGAGCCTGGGGAGTACCCCCTCATTCCCTGCTCCTCTGGAACACCGGGATATCTGGCAGGAGCAGGCGGATTTAATGGCGCTGGTAATTAAGTGGGGACAGCTTAACGAGGCGGCTGCGGAGGCTCAGCCACGTGAAATCATTCCGGAGGGAATAGCGCTCCGAAAATCGGCTCTGGTTTGGAGCGTGATGTGCGGCTCCTCTTCCTCCTCTTCCTCCTCTTCCTCCTCTTCCTCCTCTTCCTCCTCCTCGCACTGCCAGGCAAAGGTGTGGGTGGAGAACAGCCCCGTGTCTGCCAGGGAGCGGCCTCATCCCCATGGGAATGCAAATCCCACGGGAAGGGGCATCTCCCACCTCCAGTCGGGCAGGATTTTAAGGCGGTGAAGCCGAGGGGGAGCAGGAACAGCCCCCAGACCTCARCCACATCCACCTCTGGTCCCTTCCCGGACATCTCTGGCCATTCCCACCTGTGACACAATCCCACGGGGAAGAGRAGACCACCAACCTCAGGCAGCCAGCTGGAGCCATCCCTGTATCCCTGTCTCCTGGGAAAATTGCATGTTTGGGGGAATTTATCAGCAATCACCAGGTGGATTTGTGTCTGCTCGCAGCGTGTTTCCAGCAGGCTCCAGAATTCCTCCTGGAGAGCTCCCCCTCTCCCTCCAAACCACATCAACCCCACCCTCCCCCTCTCAGCATCTCCCCCTTCGCCGGTGTCCTCGTCTCTCCCGAATTATTCCAGCTGGCTTCCCGATAAGTGGCAGCACGCATATGTCAGGGGCAATGGGTTGAAGGTAATGCACATCAGTCACCGGCTCCCTGAGTGTCTGGAGCCATCCAAACCCGCTGGATTTGTCACGGCTGGGATGCACTGACCTGCCAGGACCTGCTCAGACCCACAGGAATGCCGTGTGGGATATCTGGGAGTTACAGCTCCAGTGGTTAAAGAGATCCCACACATTTCTCTCCATCTTCCTCCTCCAGGCTGGGTTGGGAAGGCGGTTCCAGCACTGGTGGGGTTTGGGATGGGATGGGRTGGTTGGGAATGGGRCAGACTCTGGWTGAGGTGAGYTRGGTCAGGGMCCCYAAATGGGTGTGGAATGCAGGGAGGAGGTCAGGAGTATTATCCCAGAACGTGGTTTGGAATTGGAGTGACACAGTGGAAGAAATTCCTCCCTGGGAGGGTGCTGAGGCCCTGGAATAAAATTCCCAGAGAATCKGTGGCTGTGCCAGCCCTGGAAGTGTCCAAGGCCGGGCTGGATGGGGCTTGGAGCAACCCGGGAGAGTGTAAATTTGTTTTACCCACCTTGTGCAGAGGCTTGCTGAACCCAGAGTTCCCAAAGCAAACAAACAGGGAATGCTGCTGCTCATCCCTATTTCGGGAAAAATCAGGAGGGGTGGGATCAGTGACCCCCTGCCCTGTCTGCCCCCAGCCCGGTACATCGGCTGCTACGAGGACAACACCCGGCAGAGGACCCTGCGCGGGATGTCCTTCTTCGACTACAAGAAGATGACGGTGTTCCGTTGCCAGGACAACTGTGC